TATGTTATGCTAACATAGCTGTGTCGCTAGCGATCACGTAGCACATCATTATATAGCAGCTAGCCCAACTTCAGTAACCCTACAAACGTCACTGCTGTTTAGTTTTCTGTCTTCATTTATGTTGGAAGTGACAGCAGAGCTGTATGTTTGAATTTTTTCAGAAATCTCTCAGTCAGAACATGCTATATCATGTTTAGATGAAAACTAGCGAGCTAACTCCCTGCTAACTTCAAACTCAGTTAAATCTAATAAATTCTGTTTTAATGACAATAATAATGGATTGGATTTATATAGCGCTTTTCAGGGCCCTCAAAGCGCTTTACAATTCCATTATTCATTCACTCTCACATTCACACACTGGTGCCCAGCTGCCCTGGGGCAAACTCACAGAAGCGGGGTTGCCATATCGCGCCATCATTTTCATGGATGCCTGGATGCTAAAATTAATTGTTACACCTGGTAAAGCAGCAACGCTGATCATTTTAATAAAGACGAAAGAATTTAGACAGTTTTTAACTCTCAGTGATGCCGCAGTGTTTTTTTGACTTTGGGACCTGAAGGGACGGAGTTTTAGACAGGATACTCCGCGAGGCTCCTGACTATGGTAGCTGTAACAATCCATCAAGAGGTGCGCTTCGTAGCTTACCAAAGTCGTACAAAAACATTTTTTGACAGATTTTTTGAGCGCCGTCTACCACATAAAATCGGTTCGAGGTCAGTAAGCACAACCAGAATTCAGACATAAGGCGCACCGGATTATAAGCCGCACTGTCGATTTTTGAGAAAATTAAAGGATATTAAGTGCGCCGTGGAAAATATGGTATACAGATTAGTGAGCATTTTGGGCATAAATATTTGAGTGTACACTGGCATTCTTTTATATACAGAAAGAAGCCATTTCTTAGTAAATATATATAAAAAAAAATATATATATATATATATAAAGAATATATGCTGCTAATGTTGGTAGAAACAAAGTGCAACACTAGTTTTGAAGCTACTGAAAGTCTTTAACAGCACACTCACCTGTACAGAAACAGATTAGTTTGTTCGATGTGTATTTTTTATTTAAAAGGCATTTAATGCACAAAACTCCCCGATGTGTGGACGTTTACACTCCTGGTCCTTCGAGAACCTTTTTCATTACGCAGATCAACCTGTCAGCCATTCAGGGAAATAAAATCTGTTTACACAAAGTGGTGCTCCAGCTTGGCCTTATGGGATAGATGACTCTCCTCTTAATCACTGCTACAGGTGAAGCTGCTTCTGTTCTGCTTTGGTTTTCACCCAAATGTGCGGCAGTTGTCACGACAAGATCAGCAGCATCGGATGTTTCACTTTGTGTGTCAATATATTTTACAATATTTCAGTCCACGCTGGAAATAAATGGGAACAAGTACTTTATTCTTTTCAATCTGCATTTTAAAAAGTGTAATTTCTCTGTTTTTTTCATGTGAAATTGAAGGTTAGAGAAAGACAAATAACTATTTCCAGCAGCCCATGAAAGCTCTGGTGACTTTTAAAAACCTCCTGCTCAGTCAGTTAGAGATGCAGCACGTAGATGTAAAGTGAAGTGGAAGCCTCGGTGCATGTCACCCCTCCCTCTACTCTTTCCAGCAGAGAAGTGAGTGAAGATAAAACAGAAGCCTCACATTAGAAATCCCAGCTCTCATTTGGAATAAAAAGAACAAAAAGCTCTTTGCCTTGCTGCCGGCTGTCACTCTGCTTTAACGCACTAGTTTAAAGGATAAAACCAGTGCCACTTTATTCTAATTCCACCACCTTTATTAGCCCATTTAAAAAATTCAAATTGTACAGACATTTTTT